AATTTCTCCCCCAGAAATTACTATTTCTGGTATTAGCAGGGATGTCTGGTTTGTTTTGGTAGAAGTTCAAAAAATGATCCAAAAAATGAAGGATGCTGAAGAAGAACAATCCAAGGCAGAACTTCTTTCTAAGCTGGTGGAATGGAGGTATCTAGGAAGCAACGATACCTTTGTTGCTTTCGATAAATACACAAATATGCAGCTGGAGAATGCCAAACGAGCAAAGAAACCATATATTGATGTCAAAATTAACAAGAAGAACTACAAGGTGGATCTAAATACTCAACAGGCTCGTGATAACCATGGAAAAACTATAAACATTCAGCGTGTGTCAAGGACTGAAGGTGAATTACACTTGTTTTAAATAACAAAAAAGTTTAATAGTGATTAATGAATGATGCTTCTGATAAAGGCCATCTCAGGAATCCTAGAAAACATAAGGTATTCCGTAGGTGGTTTTTTTGTTTTCTTGGATGTGCCATAGCCAGCAGTTTGGATTTCCATAACTAGTGGCAGGTATGACTGAGACCAGGCAATCAGTGTTAAAATTAAGTAATATCCGGACATACGTGAGTAGAGAGCACAAATTTCTTGCTTAAGTCTGACAAAGGAAGTGGTGTATGAAGTGGGCTTTTCCAGTTTGTTTTAGTTCAATATTGCTATGGGGATAATTGGACTAGAGAAAATGGAAAATCTTAACATTGTACTTTGACAGTACTTGTAGAATAAAGTATTGTGAACAGTACTGCCCTGTTAGCCCCCTCTATGCAGTTGGTTGTAAGATGTGCCTGTAAAGCTGAGCTACTTTTCTATCATAATAACGTAATCTCTGTTTTACATATATGCAATCAACAGAGCTCCCTAAGGAGTGGGAAGACATGCAAGATGAAGGTGTCAGAGTGGTGAATCTCAATCCATCGCATCCGCATTACAAAGCAGTTGAGAAGAGCTTTAGGACAACCTGTGCCAACTTTACCATAGAGAAGGTGAAATCGTATGGGGGGTGAAAATGTCCATGCTTGGGCTAGAAACATTAATATACTATTTTACAACTCCTTCCTTGTCATTCCCAGAGCCTTTCAGTCTAAGCTGTTGGTTTTAACCAAAGTGTCAAGATTTGATCCTGCTTATTAAGAGTCTGAAACAGAATGCACAGGCATTTAATTGCTGGAGAGAAGATATAGCAGAAAAGATAGTGAAAATAAGAGTGAGAATAATGTGTTTAAAAAATTTTCTTCCCTCAGGAGATTCGATAAGCATGGTCAGGAAAATACAAACAGAACACTGATTATAGTTGAAGCAGGAGAAAAGATGGTGAAAATAAGAGTGAGAATAATATGTTTAAAAAATTCGAAAATATACACAGAACACTGATTATAGTCATGTAACGGCATGATGTCGTTTTCCACTAAAAATGGAAAGCTGTTACAGCAATGCCTTTCAGATTATATTTTGATACAGAGACACTGCTTCCCCTTGAGCTATGTTCACATTGTTGGCATAGGGAGCCAGCAGCATCTATCCTCCCACCAATTTATTTTTATATAGGAATTTCTTATGGATTGCTAAGCTATGCATTTAAGGAACCAAGTTTGACTTTCAAGCTTAGATCTAGAAGAGAAACAAATTCAGTGTAATGCTATCACTGCAGCCTATCCCTTAGTGAGGAAATCATCAGTAAAGATGATTGAGATGTACAGAAGACATCTTCCAACAGAGCCCCTAGCAGCGGTACAGCAGCCTGTTTCTAGAAATGACAATGCACAGCTACCATGATTGCTGTGTACCTGGTATACTGGAGAGGCAAGACAAACATATGCTCAAAATTACTAAGTCTGAAAATCTCTTGTAATGTTCTTTGGTTTCTGATTTTTTAGGAGGTTTACATATTCAGTTCCCCTACCCAAATCACATACTAA